ACGTTTCGGGCCGAACTATACATTCGGCATGGAGCGATCGGCACCCCCCACGTTCGCCGAACCGATGGACATCGACAAATTTGACGCGAAGCAGCAACCGACAAAATGCGAATTTTGCGGCGCAGCAGGGCATCAAATTTTGTCGTAAAAAAAAAAGAGAAAATGATGGAGCAAATTTAAAACGTCATGACTGGCCGGCATCAGGGGAAATCGCCAAGGCAAATGGTGGCTCCGCGAAAAAAGACTCTGCACCGACCGGGAAACTCCAGCCGAACACCCACGAAAGTAAGAATTCGATAAAGGTATCCTATAAAGATACTCTAACGAAAAAAAAAAAACATTGCTTCTCGTGGTTTTCAAGCCTTTGAAAAATTCAGGGGAGATTTAGAGGCCAAGAAAAAGCCTTTAGAAATTATTCAGGTACCTGAGAAGTTGGGCAAAGTACTACGGAGTGTGGAAAAGGGTCGAGCGTTCTGTGGGGTTAATATTCTCTCCCCCAGCACCGTGTTAAGGCTCCCCATTGCCCACAGGTGAAGCCTACACAACTGCAAAGGCTTAGAGCACAATCCAGGCTCAGGAGAAATTATACAAGCCTCAGAAAAATCCTCCTACCCCCCAGGTGAAGTTGGAAGCAAAGAGTGCCGAGCCAAGTATAGGAAATAGAGAAGGCAACCATTTTGATGTACCCTATGATCCTATTAATGAGACTCTCTTTGGCTACTCAACGCAAGCAGAACCACTACTCCTCGAGGTTTTATGCAATGGGCGACGCCTCCAGGCACTGGTGGACAGCGGTGCATCTCACTCAGTGTGCGACCGCGGAACATTGGAGAAAATTGGAGAGAAGGCGGTGGAGACCCAATTCTCAGCGATGATGGTGGACGGTACGAAGCTTCCCATCCACGGCGAAGCATCCTTGCCTGGCATATAGTTGCGTTGAGTGGAAGCCGAAGCTACCAGTCACCAACATCAAAGGGTTAGATTTCATCTTGGGGTGAGATTCTCTGAAGCGATTCACCCCGAGATCGATTGGGTCAACAGCAAGGTGTGCATCTACAACAACGGGAAACGTGTGAAGCGGATAGAGCTACGAAGCTGGGCAGATACAGGGGACGTTCTTGAAACGACACTGGCATGGTTCGAACGGACGGTGAACAAGAGTAACACGGTTTCTTAGCACTGATCATGGCAGCGCAGAGGAGGATAAGTCGAGTACGGAGCTACCTGCAGCAGTGAAGGAGGTCTTGGAGCAGTACAAGGACATAATGCCCGACGACCTACCTGCAGGCGTACCTCCAGCACGCACCCACGAGCACGAGATCGTGGAAGAACCAGGTGCGAAACCCGTCTGCTGCTTGAACTCGATTTCAAGCAGGATGTTGTGAAGGTACTGCTGCTAAAGCCTCGGTGCTTGCTTGATCATGTAAAGGGACTTGCGCACCTGGCATACGCGCGAATTGTCAAACATTATATATGTTGGGTTTGTTAGGCTATAGTGGGTTAGCCTATATGGGGTACACAATTCTAGGGTTTGCTATTTGTACTGATTTCTCTGTTAGTTCAATCATTCCAGTCTCTTCTTCTGACATGGTTTCAGAGCAGGTCCTTCGCTAGGACCGTTCTTAGGGCCCACCACTGAATACCTACCTACCTATCTACTGTCGGAGTGCTGCGTTAGCGCCTCCCCCTCTCAGCGCCCTAGTGCGCCCTCGTGTACGGCCCCTTAAGGCTTCGCTGACCCTGCGCGCCGCCCCTTAGTGACCCGCGCGTCGCTCCTTAGAGGCCCCGTCGACCCGCGCGCGCCCCGCTTAAGGCCCCGTTTGGCCCCGTCGACCCGCCCGCGGCCCGCTTAGTGGCCCCGTTTAGCCCCGTCGACCCGCGGCGCACCCCACTTACGGCCCCGTTTGGCCCGTCACCCGCCTACGCCCCGCCCCGCGTAGGGCCCGTTTGGCCCCGTCGACCTGCGCGCGCCCCGCTTACGGCCCCGTTTGGCCCCGTCGACCCGCACGCGCCCCGCTTACGGCCCCGCTTGACCCGTCGACCCCGCGCGCGCCCCGCTTAGAGGCCCCGTTTGGCCCCGTCGACCTGTGCGCGCCCCGCTTACGGCCCCGTTTGGCCCGTCGACGACCCGCGCGCGCCCCGCTTACGGCCCCGCTTGACCCGTCGACCCCGCGCGCGCCCCGCTTAGAGGCCCCGTCGACCCTATCCGCCGCCCCAAAGCGGCTCCGTCGACCCTACCCGCCGCCCCTACCCGCACCGCACGCGACAGCCGCGGCCCCGCCAGCAACAGGCCGCCCGAACCGAGCCGCCCAGTCCGAGCCGAGCCGAGCAGCCAGAACCGAGCCGCGCCGCCCGCACTGAGCAACTTCTCTGGACCGAGCCGCCCTACCTCCGTCGCGCTGCCCACTGCGTTTAGGACTCACTTACTGCTACTGCTACTATGGCTACCCCGCCTGTACTAGCTTTCGATGCTGAGGGCCGCCCAGTGAAATTTGACACCTGGCTTGATGACCTGCACCTCTTCCTACAGCTCACTGCCAAGGAGGATATCTCACTGTATGACCACGCCCTCGGCCATGCTCCTGCCCCTGCTACTGATGCTGACAGCACTACCCGCTCACAGTGGCAGACTCGTGACGCCCACGCTCGCTTTGCCATCCGCAACTCCCTGCCGTTAGATGAGCGCGAGCACTTTGGCCAGTGCAAGACTGCTAGGGACCTCTACACCGCTGTAGTTGCCCGTTACTCCTCACCCGCTTCTGCTACGCTAGGCCGCCTCACTCTTCCCTACCTGTTCCCCGACCTAGCCTCCTTTCACACTGTCGCAGACCTCATCACCCACCTTAAGACTAGTGAGGCCCGCTTTCGCGCTGCTATGCCTGCCGAGTTTCTCACTAGCAACCCCCCCCCGCTCTGGATCACTCTCTACCACATCGTCACCCGCCTCCCTGACTCTCTGCGCGCAGTCAGGGACCACTTCCTCTCTCGCTCCCCCACTGAGCTCACTGTTGCCCTCCTCGAGAAGGAACTGCTTGCAGCTGAGGCGAGCATCGTCGCTGTAGGCACCTCTCGTGGCGACCCCCGCACCCCGTTCTTCGAGGGGTGTTCCCCTTCCCCCCTCCTCCCCTCTGTCGCCTCTGCTGCTGCTGTCGACCTTCTTGGTGCTGAGAAGGTCGGGACCGCGTCTGCTTCGAGCGGGCGCCGCAGGGGCAAAGGGGGCAGGGGCGGGGGTGGCGGCGGAGGAGGTGGGGGTGGAGGCGGTGGGAGTGGAGGCGCGGCTGAGGAGGCTAGTGGCGGTAGTGGGGGAGGCGACAGCAGCGGCGGGAGTGGTGGCAGGGGCGGAGGCGGCAGCGGAGGCGGAGGTGGTCGTGGTGGCGGCAGGGGTGGAGGTGGCCGGGGCGGAGGCGGAGGGGGTGGTGGTCGTGGGGGCACTGGCGGAGGGCAGAGTCAGCAGTCCGCCCCGACGCTTCAGGCCGCCCGTGAGTGGTATGCGCAGCGTAGCTTTACCTGCACGTACGTCATTCGCACAGGTGACCGCAGCGGCCAGCAGTGTGGGAGGCCGCACCCCACGCAGCGCTGCTTCGCCCGCCTTACCGACGCGTGGCGCACCCAGTTTCCTACTGCCGCTGAGCTGCCGCGCTGGCCTGAGCTGGAAAAGAGGGGCGTTGATATTTGGGCTTTAGACTTTGATGCTATTCTCACTGCCATGTATGCGATGTCTATTAGTGGAGAGGGTACTCAGTACTTGCGTGTTCCGCCCGACCCGGGTATTCAGGCCAGTCCGGCTGCCGCTCTAGGTGCTAGTGCGTCCGCTCCCGCAGGTCCTGGTGAGGCTGCTGCCCTAGGTACTAGTGCGTCTGTGCCCCCTGGTACTGAGTCGACTGCAGCACTGCACACCTTCACACTAGACTCAGGTGCTTCTCGCTCTTTCTTTCGTGACCGCACTGTCCTTGAGCCCCTCGCTCGGCCAGTTGCTGTCTCCCTTGCTGACCCCTCTGGGGGTCCGGTCATTGCGACCTCCTCCACTGTCCTTCCTTGTCCGGCGGTCCCGTCCGAACTTGGTGGCAGGTAGTGCGCTCCAGGACGGGGGTGTTCACCAGTTCACCCCTGCCTACGAGCGCGTGACACACTGCACGTGTGCTCGGACGGGTCGCCACCTGGCTACCTTCACTCGGGAGCCGGGGTCGGACCTTTACACACTGACCACTGTGTCCCCTCAGGTAGCTGCGTCTGCGTCTACGTCTGCGTCTGCGTCAGGTCAGCTGTCCGCCCCCTGCTCGTGTCGCTCTCTGGCACATGAGACTGTCCTTTGGCACCACCGCCTTGGTCACCCGTCTGTGCAGCGCCTTCGGGCCATGCACCAGCGGGACCTTGTTGCTGGTCTTCCCAGGGTGCTCCCTCCCCTTCCCGACTCGCCTGCTCCTCCCTGTCTTCCCTGTGTCGAGGGACGGCAGCGCGCCGCTCCTCACTCCTCCTCCTTTCCCCAGACGACTGCCCCCTTGCAGAAGCTTCACATGGACGTGTGGGGCCAGCCCGCGTCCGTGGTCAGGGTCAGGAGAGGTACTTCCTGATTGTTGTTGACGACTTCTCGCGCTACACCACGGTCTTCCCCTTGCGCACCAAGGGTGACGTCCCTGATGTCTTGATCCCTTGGATCCGCAGATCTCGTCTCCAGCTCCGTGAGCGTTTCCGCTCTGACTTCCCTGTCCTGCGTCTGCACTCTGACAGAGGTGGGGAGTTCTCCTCTGGCCTATTGGAGGCCTTCTGTCAGCAGGAGGGCATTGAGCAGTCGTACACGCTTCCGGACTCTCCACAGCAGAATGGGGTTGCTGAGCGCCGCATTGGTCTGGTCATGGAGGTCGCTCGTACCTCCTTGAGCCATGCGGCTGCCCCCCATTTTCTGTGGCCGTTTGCAGTCCGATACGCTGCGCATCAGCTCAACCTCTGGCCCCGTGTCTCCTTGCCCGAGACTTCTCCGACACTGCGCTGGACGGGAGAGGCTGGCGATGCGTCGCGTTTTCGGGTCTGGGGATCCCGAGCTTTTGTCCGCGACACGTCCGCGGACAAGCTCTCCCGTCGCGCTGTCCCCTGCGTCTTCCTTGGCTTTGTCCCGGACGCCCCTGGTTGGCAGTTCTACCACCCCACCTCGCGGCGTGTCCTGGCCTCTCAGGACGTCACTTTTGACGAGTCCGTCCCCTACTACCGCCTCTTCCCCTACCGCACTGCCCCGCTCCCCCCCCCGCCTCTCTTCCTCGCTCCAGGTGCTGAGGTACCAGACCCCCTCCCCCCTCAGGGTGCCGCTCCCTCATGTGTGTCCCAGGTAGACCCGGGTGAGCCTGTCGAGGTAGCTGTTGACTCTCGTCCTGCTAGGGGTGCTGAGCCTGGGGGTGCTGCGTCTGGGGGTGCTGAGCCTGGGGGTGCTGCGTCTGGGGGTGCTGAGCCTGAGGGTGCTGAGTCTGGAGGTGCGGAGCCTGGAGGTGCTGAGTCTGGGGGTGTTGAGTCTGGGGGTGCTGAGCCTGAGCTTGCTACACCTGGAGGAGCCCTCTCCTCCCAGCAGCTGCAGGAGAGGTACCTCGAGTACTGCCGCCTCCGGAGAGGTGCTGCTGGAGCTCGTCCCGGTACTTCCCCTCCTACCCAGGAGCTCCCCCCCATTCAGCAGATCCGCGAGTGGTACACACGGCGCTGCAGTCTTCGGAGTGGTGCTCCTGGTGCTGCGGACCCTGGGGGTGGCGCTGCTGCTGGTGCTGAGGACCCGGACGTTGGAGCTGCTGCTGGTGCTGCGGACCCGCCTGGTGGAGCTGCTGCTGGTGCTGCGGACTCGGACGTTGGAGCTGCTGCTGGAGCTGAGGACCCGGGCGGTGGCGCTGCTGCTGGTGCTGCGGACCCGGACGGTGGAGCTGCTGCTGGTGCTGAGGACTCGGACGGTGGAGCTGCTGCTGGAGCTGAGGACCCGAGCGGTGGCGCTGCTGCTGCTGCTGAGGACCCGGGCGTTGGAGCTACTACTGGTGCTGAGGACCCGGTCGGTGGAGCTGCTGCTGGTGCTGTGGACCCGGACGCTGGAGCTCCTACTGGTCCTGAGGACCCGGCCGCTGGAGTCTCCTCTGCTTCTGGAGACGCTGCGCGGCCGCGACCGTACTTCGTACCGCTCCTTCAGCAGGTTCTTGGGCAGGCTCCTCCTCCTTGTCCTCCTCCCTCCGTAGAGTGTCCTCCGCCTGTCCAGCCGCAGTCACAGTTACCGCCTACCTCGCCTCTCCCTGCTCCCTCTCCTTACACTGGTCCCACAGGAGGTCTTACAGAGCGTCGTGAGCCTGAGTCTCGTCCTGCGTCGCCTGTTCGTCCTGCTCGCACTGCTAGTCGTGTCCGTCGTGAGCGTCCTCCTCCTGTCCCAGGCACTCACTACATGACTCTGCGTCCCTCTACTGCTCCTCAGCGTGTCCCTCTACCGTCACCTCCTGCGTCCTCTTTGCCTGACGTTCCGGACCCTGAGTCTGACCGGTATCGTGCTGAGCACCCTACTGTCACGCGTCTCCTAGCTACTGTTGTCACTGACCCTACCTTTGAGTCCTCGGCTGCGTCTGCTCTGGTCGCTGAGTTGGTTGACTTTGCTGCTGCCTGTCGTCTAGACTACGCTGCTAGCCTTGTTGCTGAGTCTACGTCTGAGTCTGTCTGTCCTCCGTCCGTCGGGGGTGAGTGTGCTCTTGGCACGGACGTCCTTGAGGACAGACAGGAGGAGTTCCAGTGTCTTGCTGCTGCTTTGCCCCGTCTCGTGTCCTTGCTAGTTGCCCCTGAGGGAGACCCGGATGCACCAGACATCCCGACCCCGCGCTCTTACGCAGAGGCGATGGCAGGTCCCTACTCCTCTCAGTGGCAGACAGCTATGGACGCAGAGATGGCTTCCTGGAAGTCCACACGCACCTACGTCGACGAGGTTCCCCCTCCTGGGGCGAACATCGTCAGTGGCATGTGGATTTTCAGGGTGAAGCGGCCGCCGGGTTCTCCGCCTGTCTTCAAGGCGCGTTACGTGGCTCGAGGCTTCAGTCAGCGAGAGGGAGTTGACTTCTTCCAGACCTTCTCCCCCACCCCGAAGATGACTACTCTTCGGGTGCTGCTGCACATAGCCGCTCAGTGCGACTACGAGCTTCACTCACTTGACTTCAGCACTGCTTTCTTGCAGGGCAGCCTGCACGAGGAGATCTGGCTGCGCCGCCCACCTGGCTTCACTGGGTCGTTTCCTCCTGGTACCCAGTGGAGGCTTCAGCGGCCGGTCTACGGTCTCCGCCAGGCACCGCGTGAGTGGCACGACACACTGAGGACTACACTTGCGGCTCTTGGGTTCGCGCCTTCTACAGCTGACCCGTCGCTGTTCCTGCGCACCGACACTTCGCTGCCGCCGTTCTACATCCTCGTGTACGTCGACGACTTGGTCTTTGCCACTGCTGACACTGCAGGACTCGCCTACGTGAAGTCGGAGCTGCAGAGGAGATACACGTGCACAGACCTGGGTGAGCTGACAAGCTATCTTGGCTTGCGGATCACCCGGGACAGAGCACGGCGCACCATCACCTTGACTCAGTCACACATGGTGCAGCAAGTTCTCCAGCGCTTTGGCTTCACGTACTCCTCGCCTCAGTCCACTCCTCTGCCTACCGGTCACTCGCTCTCAGCTCTGCCTTCGGATGAGTCCGTAGAGCCGAGTGGCCCGTATCCAGAGCTTGTGGGCTGCCTCATGTACCTGATGACCTGCACTCGACCTGACCTTGCATACCCTCTTAGCATCCTTGCACGCTATGTCGCTCCTGGCCGTCACAGGAAGGAGCACATGGATGCCGCTAAGAGGGTGTTGCGCTACTTGTGCAGTACGTCGGGCATGGGGCTTGTGCTTGGAGGGCGAGACCGAGTTGTGCTCACAGGGCACTCAGACGCTTCTTGGGCAGACGACCAGGCCACTCAGCGGTCGTCTCAGGGTTACACCTTCAGCCTTGGCTCTGGCTCAGTTTCTTGGCGCTCTACACGCTCTTCTTCTGTTCTCGGCTCCAGTTGCGAGGCTGAGATCTACGCTACAGCCATGGCTGCCCAGGAGCTACGCTGGCTGACCTACCTGCTGACTGACCTCGGAGAGCCGCCTCGTTCTCCTCCAGTACTGTACGTCGACAACAAGGCTGCCATTGCCTTGTGTGAGGAGCACAGACTGGAGCACAGAACGAAGCACATCGCCCTGCGGTACTTCCTTGCTCGAGAGCTGCAGCAGCGCGGTCAGCTTTGTATTCGCTACGTGGCCACTGAGGCCAACACTGCTGATGTGTTCACCAAGGCGCTTCAGCCTCGTGACCATCAGCGCTTCTGCACTCTACTAGGCCTTGTGCCTACTGGACCTCACTTGCTTACCTCTTGACTTTGCTTGTACTGTGATCACTATATATATCTATACCTGCATGTTTACTCTTGCTAGGTTGTGATCACTGTATCTCTGGCTCTGTTATAAACCTGCATGTGAACTGGTCTTGTGACCACTAGCTTGTGCTCGGAATTTGTGTGGAATCCTCGAGATCCACCCTGAGCTTGCTGATGCCTTGCTTTGCCTTGACTGGTCTTGTGACCCCTAGGTCTCCCCCACTTTGCCTATGGGGGTGTGTCAAACATTATATATGTTGGGTTTGTTAGGCTATAGTGGGTTAGCCTATATGGGGTACACAATTCTAGGGTTTGCTATTTGTACTGATTTCTCTGTTAGTTCAATCATTCCAGTCTCTTCTTCTGACACGAATCCCCTTCGCCGTACGTATGCGGCTGCTCCATGTAGATCACAGCATCTACTAATGCGTACAGGAACGCGTTCTCACGTCGATTTGGCATAGAGGCAAGTTTCTGGCAGCTGCGATAGCGAGGAGGATTCGGACGGAGGTGTGGCGGCTGACCAACGCAAATGTCTGGTCGAAGTCGATGCAGTGCCTCTGGTCATAGCCGCGCACCACCCAACACACCTTGAAGCGCTCGATCGTTCCGTCTGCTATGGTCTTCACGCGGAAGACCCATTTCCCCGAGAGGACCCTCGCGCCTTTGATCGCTGCGCGGTCGACTAATACCCAGGTATCTCGAGATTCGAGTGCCTTGATCTCCGCGTCCATTGCTTCGCGCCACTCCTTGCTGTGTGGTCCAGTGAGAGCTTGGCGCGGGTTTCGTGGCTCGATGACACGTGGCGCTTTTGCAGTTGCAGCGTCGAGTCCGAGCAGCTGCAACCCGAAGACGGCGCAGTCATGTCGTTGCTGTGGAAAGTTCTTGCACATCGTCGTCGTTGCTTTCTGGCTCAGGTGGTGCTGGTGGTGCTGCGCCTCTGCCGCTTCCTCCCGTTCCGCCCATTCCTCCTCCAGGGGAATCGTCGTCGTCGTCGTTGCTGCTGTGGCGGTCTTTTCTCTTGAACTCGCGCCTGGTGTCCTGCTCCAGGATTGCTGCAGCGGATTCGCCCTCGTGCGTTGCGTAGCTGTGCCCGTCGTTCGCGTAGACGCGATTCACATTTGTCTGTTCGTCGTGGCGGAATTGCTCAAAGAAGAGCCGTTCATAGAAAATGACGTCACGGGCATAGGTGGTCTTCTGGCTGAGCAGGTCCAGCACGATCCATGCCTTGGTGTTCGTGGTTGATGCCGAGGTGAATGCCCCATCGCGCGCAGTTGGCGAATTTGTCGATGGTTGATGTCGGCTGGCGGTACTGCACCATGCACCCCCACACACGGAGCTTGGAGGTGTCGCCCTTGGTCCCGGTCCATTTTACATGGGGAGACAGATTGCCGGTGATGGCAGTGGTCGACAGTAGGTTGTGCACCCGCACAGCGTGGTGCATCGCGTAGGTCCAGTAGATCAGTGGCAACTTCGACTGCTTCATCAGTGCCCGCACCTTCGTCATAAGCATGCGGTTCGTCCGCTCGGCTACGCTCTGTTGCTGGTGCGCGTAGGGGAGAGAAATGTGATGCTCGATCCCCTTTTGCGCCAGGAAATCCTGCAACCCTTTACTCCTGAACTCTGCTGCGCCGTCCGACTGCCAGATCTTCAGTTTCTCCCCAGATTGCCGCTGCGCGTGCGCCAGCCAGAGGCGAAAGACTTTGTATGCTCTGCTGCGTGCTTCAACGTTCACGACCCACACGTTGCGCATCCCTGCGTCGATGAAGGTGAGCGTATACAGCTCGTCGTTGACTCCGCAGTGTCCTAAGTCGCTGTACACCTGTGTAGCTTGGGATAGCGATTCGTCCCGGGCTCGAGCAGCGGGAACGGCTGGTGGCTTAGCGTGGCTTCGGGGCAGACGGTGCAATTGCGCGGATGTGTCGCGCCTCTCACTTCGGTGCCGCCGGGGCACAGGAGTGCGCCAAGAACAAAAACTCCTGCGTCAATTGAGTTTTTCAGCGTCGCGCGTGACGGGTGGCCGAGACGCTGGTGCCAGAACGCATCGTCGGCGCGAAATCCTGAGGTGCGCATGTAGCGCGCACGAGCCTCCTCAGGGTCTTCATCAGGTACTAGGGCGGGTTCTGCTACTGCTTCTTCTGCTGCTTCATCTTCGTCGTTGCCGGTGGTAAGCATGAGCGCCAGCAACTCTTTGTCGCGGACTTCAAAGAAAAGATGTTGGCCCCAGGGATAATTCCTGGGACGAAGGTAGGCTCGCGCGGTTCGGGAGCAGGTCCGTAGACGGTGCGGCGTGGAGTTGATGGTTCATTACCCCAGTCGATGGTGTCCCAGGTATCGCGGTGCGGCGGAACATCGTGAGGAGGTAATGCGGGTGGAGCACGGCGTGAGGGGGGACCAAGAAGGACAACTGCAGGTGTTGCCTCAGCTTCTTCTCCCCCTTTTTGTTCTTCGTGGGAAGCACCCCAGCTGCTGCCGACGTCGCCAGTTGCTACGCCCCATCCGCCGCTCGCGGTTGCCCAGGTGCCGCCGGTGTTGCCCCATCCGCCGATGTCACTTGTTCCCCATCCGCAGCGCTTCCCCACCCCCCTTCATTGGAGGCGCTCTCTTCTTCTTCGGCTCCCATGCGCCGCAAGCGAATGTCCCGTGTGCTTCGGCGAGGCTTTGTCGGCGAAGCTCCTCAGCTTCGCGGTGCACCAGTTCTTCTTCTTGCTCCACATTAAGCTTCTTCGTGGAATCGCGCTGATGGGAGTAGATCTCAAGAAACTTCTCCCTGGTGTATGGTCGCAGCACGTTGTTTGCATCGAAGGTGCCCACGCCAGTGCCGCGCAGCATGCGTTGGAGGTGCTGTGAGGGAGGCCCGAGCAGAGGGTGTTCTGGCGTGCCGAAAACGCTGCGCGTGGTAACTTTGAGCTCTAGTTGTGACATCTCTTCCTCTGGCGCCGCATGGCGCTCCGCTTCGGCAATGGCGGCAAGTCCACGGCTGGCAATCGTGCTGGTTGACTCCATTGGCG